GGGGACACCAGGGATGGGGGAGGGCCCTCATCGCTACGTGAGAAGGGGTTGGTGGTTGGGTCGGTCACTGCTTGGGTGAACAGTGCTTACTAAACAACTTTGCAAAGCACTTCGAGAAGCATCATCCATCACACTTTTGCAGCTGATTCAGGAGATTGTCGGGACAGGTGTTATGGGGTTCTTCTTACAGATGGGGAAACTGACACTCAGGGAGGGTGAGCCAACCCCGCCCCTCTTAACTGACCTCTTCTCCCATAGGGGAGAATCGGGACCCCTTCCCCCACTCCACTGCCTGTGAAAGCAGAGGCAGGAGCAGTAGCTAGATCTGCCCGGTGTCTGTTCTGTCGTGGTGCCACCTGTGGGCCCGGTTGCCCCGGGTAACCTAGTCAACGGGAAATGAAACGGAGGATGCAGAGAGCATCCTTGGTCACCTTCTGTGTACAGGGCCCATTGCCGCAAGTGTGTGTGTCCCCTCCCTCAGGCGAGAGAGCCACACGTCCTTTGTTGGTGAGCCGGCCTTTATGAAAAGTGAGATCGCTGACTTACCTTGCCTTCCTAGTTTACCTGTTTAAGTCGTAGTGAATGCACAGGGCAGAAAAAAGCAAATCCCTTCCCAAGCAATTGATGCCTTTCCCCTGGTAGAGACCCAGATGCTGGACCTCTGCCACCTTCTCCTAGTTTAAAATAAGTCCCCGGTAGCCTGTGTGACCCCTGAAGCTTTTCTGAGACCTGGAAAATTGGTTGTCTCTATTTACTCGTAATTAACCAAAGCATGCGTTTGCAGTTTATCTGTTTCTGAATGCAGTAAATACAGCAGCCAATCTCCCAACCCCATGAATATTTCATTTTGGAGATGACTGCATAAATATTGTATCTGGATATTATGGTCTGGGACATCACATTAAAATTGCAAGAAGATACTATTATCCCACATAATGGAACATGAAATTAAAAAGCTGGTCCGTGGAGAGAAAGATTTTGCTAGTCCTCTCACCTGTATTTCTTTTCTCTCTGTCTTTCTCTCTCTCTCTCTCTCTGTCAGCCTGGTTACCATGTAAGTTTGAATGCAAATGATCTAAAGTTTCAAGCATGGTTAAGTGCACCGACTGGGCATTATGTATAATTGGCACTAGCCACAGTCAAGGCAGGATTTTATTTTCCTAAACTCAGGGGCTTCCTTTAATGGGGTTAGAGCCGAGTTACATTTCAATGGGGGGGTGATACTCTGACTATAATGAAAAATCTTCATCACGTCTCTCCCCAGCAAGCACGTGGTCTTGCTAATAAGCTCGGATTTTGTGCATGTAGAAAGCTGAGTTAGGGAAAGGACAAGAACAGTGACATTGACACCTGGATCTTCTGTTGGGTCCTGCCCTTGTGTGAGTGCTGTGTGTCCTCAGAAAAGTTGTCACCCTTCTCTGGGCTCCCATGTGTCCATATGGAATGGAATGTCTGCCCCATACCCTCTTCCTGAGTATAATAGAGTGACTTATAGAATGTCACAGCCGGAAAGTACCTCGGGAATTACCTAACCCCAGGTTATTATTGCTGGTGGCCTGTGGCCTAGAGATGTGTTTTATTTAGCCAGAAATACTTTGAAGAATTTAAGTGCCTTTCAGAACGTGCGTTCTCTACGCTCTGCTCATTTCACCACTCCCCGTCGTCTTATACTCAGCCCCTTTCACACACTTCCAAGATCCGTCTGACCCCTGTAGGGACTTAACCTTATAACTCAGACCTAGCCCAACTTTGTCCTTTTGCTAAGGGGGAAACTGAGATTCAGAGAGGACTCCTCACTTTTCAAAGTCACCCAACTAGTGGCAGGTAAAGCCACACTGCCCTGTAGATGAAGAGCCAGCAGCAGCATCACCACAGGTCTTTTATGCCACCGTCAGTGTTGTTGAGACTTAGATGTATGACATCAGGGTCTTCAGTGGTAGCCACCATCTGCAGGGCAGGCTTTCTGCTCGTGCACAAGAAAGTGCTGGGGGTGTGGGTTCATTAATGAGGTTCCCTGTGGTTCCCCTGAGTGGATGTCAGAGGATTTGGGGGAGGCCCGGTGGAGAGGAATTCTTTCTGGAATTCCATGTGACTGGCAGGCTGGGATCATCTCCTGCTTCGATAGCCTGAGGTCAGGCAGCTGAGCACCTGCCCTGCCCTGCCCCAGGACCTGTAAGAGAGGCAAGAAGGAGAAAGCCAAGGTTGGTTCCAGTGACAACAGGGTCTGCCTGGGAGGAGACAGGTAACTCCAATCTGAAGACAAAGGGATGAAGTCAGACTGGCTTGAAGGAAGAGGTGGCATTTATGTGCCACAATTTTGGCTACCTGCCCCATCTGGAGCGTAAGAACATCCCGCACATCATTGTCGTGATGAAGTTGAAATCATTCAAGCATGTATTCGTCAGGATTGTTTCAAATGCAATCGACAAATCCCATCTCCAAAATGCCTTAAGCACATAACTGACAAGTCTGGGCCTGCGTCAGGTACAGCGAGATCCAGGATCTCAAGTAGAGCCACCAAGACTTGGGCACTGTGTCTTTCTGTCTCTCCTCTCTTATTTCTGCTTTGCCTTTGTTGTCAGACGGCCCCTGTACTCATGGGGACAAGATGACCGCCAGCAGTGCTAGGCTTACAATTAAAATCATGTGTCCACCACAAATTGTGTTGCCAGCCCAGAGCAATCTCCTGCTTACGCCAAGCCAGTGCCAAGCCCCAGCCCACACCTTTGGATGGCTGTCCCCTGTGTCCAGAATGTGCACCTCCTCTTCCCCACGCAGCCTCCACAGGCTGGCTCAGGCCCTGCCTCCACCACGCCACAGCATCCTGCCTTTGCAGCCCTGCTCTAGCCCTCATTTTTCTGGAAGTACATTGAAATTCATTGACAGTGTGGTTCCCTGTACCTATCTGGTATTTCCTCAGTTAGACTGTCAGTTCCCAGGAGGAAGAGCCTGTGCTTTATGCTGTTTCGTAACGTGGGAAGTGTGGATGGAGGGGACTGGGCACACATCTGCTCATTGATGGGTTGAGTTCATTCATTCATTCCGAGAATACTTGCTAAGCGCTGCTTGCCGTATGCCAGGCACACAGGGATGAGCAGACACAAGAACAGCGCTAGCTCCCGTGGAGCTCACCGTCTACTGAAGGAGGTGGGCAGTAATCAAAGAACCACACAAACATATGATGGCAAGCTGTTGGGTTCACACATGCGTAAAAGTGGGTTAATAAAAGTATTGTCTCTGGGGTTTTCATGAGAGTTAATACAGGTAATTGACATAAAGCCCTTGGAATGATAACGTTCAGGCATGGTTTTGCCACCATGATGGTGATTATGAGGAGGAGGATGAAGGTGGTGGTGGTGGTGATGATGATGATGATGATGGTGGTGGTGGTGATGATCACAATGGTGATGATGGTGGTGGTGATGACAGTGATGAGGAACATAGTGAGATTATAGTGATAATAAAGAGGACGATGATGGTGATGATGAAGATGATGATAGAGGAAGAAATCACAGTGGCATGAGAACTGAGGGAATAACTTTCTGCAGTCTGATGGATAGATTGGAGTTAACTAGGGGAGGCTGGGATGGGGGAAACAGGGAGAGCATTGGAGCGTGTCCGGGAGCCTTGCCCAGAAGGCTGTGTATAATGGTGGCACGTGGAGTAGGGAAGTCGTCGTGTTGGTGACACAGAGAAGCATTGATACAAGAGAGTTATAAATTTATAAGAGCTGGAAAACTCTAGAGTCCTGGACATGTGTAAGCACCAGCAGGCTGGAAGAGCCCTGGGTTGGGAGCCCTCTAGACCTTAGGAGTGGACATCACCCTCCTTCCCCCTGAGCCCCGGCAGGGTCCAGCACGGTGCCTGGTGCATGGTCAGTGTGCGGTGAATGCTAACTGCCAACAGACTGGGCGTCGGGGCCAGAGGTGTGGCCCTAGCTCTGTCCACCCTCCCCACACACCCACGCGACCACCTCTGGGACCTGCATAGCTTTGGTCTCTGCATCTGCAAAACAGCAAATGCCAGTTCTGCCCTGCCTGCTTTGCGAAATCCTAAATGAGATGATTATACGTACTCTTACTAGAGTAGGAGTTGTTAATCTGGGGTTTGTGGGTGAAATTCAAGGGGTTCCATGACCTTGGACGGAAAGAAAATGACATCTTTATTTTTAATAAATTCTAACTGAAATCCAGCTAAAGGTGGCTAACGAACCACAGTCATGTTAGCAGTAACTGTGACTTAATCACCCACGGGAATCACATATTTTCATATCACATGATAGCTGGTGCAGATACCTCTAAATATCATTTATGCTCCCTGCTTCTGCAAAATTACAGCAGTTACGAGACCTGCCGTGGTATCTTATTTCTTAATGTGTTAATAAAGAGACAAGTGTATTAACTAACATACATTTGGTGGTTTTAAAAATATTTTGTAATCCTGTATATGATGTGTGAATCAAAAAGCACATGTGTTACTATATCATAACTTTGGTGGCTTTTTTATTTTTATTTATTTTATTTTATTTTTTATTTTGTGTTTATTTTTATTTTTTGTTATTCTGTAACCACGTACATACTGTGAGCATGGAAGAACACTTTCCTGAGATGAGAGTGTATAGACTGTATTCAGCAAACTGCCCAGGCCTCTGTGGCATAACGAGCTTATTTCGAATGTTCTCTAGAGAGGACGTCGGTGCCGCAGATGATCACTGCTGTCTCACTGTCCTGGGCGAGTCCCCTGCGCTCTCTAAGCTTCAGTGGGCTCATATGTAAAATGGGGGTGACAGTAGTACCTGCCTTGTAGGGGGAGTAGGGGAACCTGCCTCACTGTGAGGATCCGTCTATAAACTAGAGCCCTGGCTCAGTACCTGGCACATAGTAGGTGCTCAATAAATGCCGCCATGGCTGCAGTTGTGTCGTGTTGTTACTATGCGGACTCTAGGGGGGCTCCCCTCTCTCAGGGCACCTTTGAGCTAAGGGCCGCTTTGTCTCTCCCAGGTTCATCCGGAAACAAGGCCTCGATCGGCTCTTCCTGGAGTGCGACGCTCACATGTGGCGCTTGGGGGACCGGCGGATCCCGGAGGGCATTGCCGTGGATGGGGGCTCCGATTGGTTCCTGCTGAACCGGAAGTTTGTGGAGTATGTGACGTTCTCCACAGACGACCTGGTGGCCAAGATGAAACAGTTCTACACCTACACCCTGCTTCCTGCCGAGGTGAGCGTACAGGAGAAAGTCCCCGAGGAAGGCAGGGGCAGCTTTGGCTTTTGGAGCAAAGCAGGTGCTGAATTTTGGGCAGAGCAATGGGGGGTCCACCTACGTTGTCCTGCAAACATCCAGGCGCCCTTGCTGCTGTAGCAGGGCCCTGGGTCCCCCTGCATTCTGCGCGGAGGCTGCATGGAGCAGATGCACAGTGCTGCTGCCAGCAACCCACACGGTGCCGTTGTGCAAAGCAGAGAAGGCAGCCAGCCCTTCCTCAGGGCACTTGGCCCCTGTTGGTCATAAAATCACACAATATACTGATTTTGTCAGTATAGACACTCTGCCGCCATTTTCCAGGGAATTCTTATTAAAACCAACCAACCAACAAAAACCTCTGATGTCTGCAGTGTTGACAATGGCACCGCCTAGAGTCATGCAGTGTGCAACCTGCGCAACTGTATACACTGACCCTTTCAGGACACTCCCACGTCAACTTTTAACAGATCCTCCATAGTCACCAATCATGTTCTAACCACCAAGAATCCCTTCTCCCATTTTGAATATTGTTCCTTCTCCGATAGAAAGTAGAGTTGGTTTCATGAGCGAGTCACACTCCAAAAGTGCAGGCGATCTGAGCCAGCCAGCCAGGGGTTGCAAGAGGCCCCTGCACTGGCAGCCACTGTGGCCAGAGGCGCAGGGCTCCGCATTCCCTGTTGGCTTTTGGAAGTATTTAAAAATCCCCAGGGAGCCGTCACCATTTTTCAGACCTAGTGGAGGGAAGGCCTGTGGTGTAGATTTCGGAGAATTCTGAGACAGACCCGGCCCCGTCTGGATAGGGGTAGGGATCCAGCTCTGGAGAGTTTATGCTGACATGCCAGCAGCCGTCTCCTTTTCAGAGCTGAGCTGAGGGATTCTAGATTCATCTCCCTGACCTCCTGTTCTCTTGTATCCTCAGTTTCTGATCCGACTTCAGAAAACTCCAGAGCTGGTTCCATTTCTGTTGAGCCTGTGGTGTTTTCCAGGAACGGGGCACTGTCCCTTCCCTGGCGGGGCCCCAAGCTGCAGTTCACACAGCCATGTGTCTCCGTGGGCCAGACAGGAGAGCGCGTCTCCTTTCGGGATTTCGACATATCCCACCAGTGTGTGGGGCAGGGCCCAGCCCCGAGAAGCAGGGCGATGAGCGTGTCATCCTGGGGCTAGTTTTACTATTCTGCACACGTGTTAAATAATCAGCTTTTAATCCTATTTCTACAAAAATCACCTTTTCTCTCAATTCTGATAACCTCCTCATCCATTATCTTGCAGGGAATTTCTGTATCATTATGAAAGGACACAGGGCAATTGATAATTGGATACTTTTTCCCCACTGCTTGATGGAGACTATGTGCCTTTGTGGGCTTGTAGACAAGAGGGTGGGTCAGCAAGGGGTAGTGGGTGGAGCCTCATTTTGCCCACCCACTCATTGGGAGTTTGGTTGTTTTCATCAAGATGCCCCACCACACTGCTGGGGGCCAAAGCTCTGTGTGTGCTCCCTGGCCCTCCCCTGCCCCAGCGCATGCAGGCACATACACTCCAGGGTCCCTGTTAGGTCCCGTCATCTCCGTTCCTACCCATAAGCCTTTGCACGCAGACACATGTCCCCCTCAGCTTCCGTTAAGGAGCAGAGAGCAGGGAAATGTGCTTTCCTGGTGTCCGGGATTGTTATAAGACAGTGTTGCAATAGAAACCTCTATCTGTGTTTTTTTCTCTCTGCTAATCTCCCAGCTGAATCAACAATTGTCTCTCCTCTGGTCGCTCTTCTCACTCCCAACATCGCCTCTTAGATTCCTTGGCGAGGTTAGATTCCTGGCCATTCCTTGGCCAGGAGTCCTAGGATTAGGGGGAAATGATGGCGGCTGGTTCAGTACCACGGACAGCGAGCAGCCCGCCTCTCCCCTCCCTGTGTGGCGGTCACTGTGCAGGTGGCTTAGGTGGAGGCCCCAGGCCTGATGCAGCCTAGAGTCTGGCATCCCTCGTCCAGGGGGGAAATACCAAAGCTTCAGCCTTTGGTGTCAGGCTATCTCAGACCTGGATCCCTTTGGTTTCAGATCTGGCTATTTGCAAAACAAAGAACCCGTGTGACTCACCATATTCCAGAAAATTGGCCCCATGTTTTCCTCTGCGCCATGTGTTGACAAACCCTGTGGGACTTTTTACTGGGCAGACAGAAGATGACCGACCTGGGTGGTAAAAGATGTCTTGCAGTCAGATTCTAGAGGCTGGGGAATGACCACTTAGAAACCCACCCAGAGCGGTAGACTTCTTAGTACAACTAAGCCAGTCTGCACAAAGCCTCCAGCTGTGCCCTGAGTTGGACCAGACTGCCAGCTGCCCCCATTTGCACGTAGAGAGAGCAGAGTGACCCTCCAAGAAGGACCCTTTATAGTCAGTCATCAGGAATGACCTCTTGATCCCAGCCCATTTCGGGGGCACCGGGAGAGGTCTCAGGCTGGGCCCCTGTCTCCCCTACAGTCCTTCTTCCACACGGTCCTGGAGAACAGCCCGCACTGCGACACCATGGTGGACAACAACCTGCGCATCACCAACTGGAACCGCAAGCTGGGCTGCAAGTGCCAGTACAAGCACATCGTGGACTGGTGCGGCTGCTCCCCCAACGACTTCAAGCCGCAGGACTTCCACCGCTTCCAGGTGAGCCTGCTGCACCCCTGCGGCCCCCCGCGCCTCGCCTGGCCGCACACCTCTGCAGACACCCAAGCCCACGTGCCCAGTCCTGGCTGGGGATAGTAATGGCAGCACATCAACAATAGCCAGTATTTATTGAGCACCTACTCCACTCCAGGGCTTTGCTAACCATTTGTCTGTTTTGACTCGTTCACCCCACAACAGCCATTTACTACATGTATTATTATTTATTGTTTTTCCACTTTAGGGATAGGGAAACTGAGGCATAGAAAGGTCAACAAGCTTAAGGTGTCTGTTTCCAAAGGCTACCCTCATATCCTATTCTCTATCCTGCCTTCTCCGTCTGAATCGTCTTGTTAAAAACATATTTCTGTGTACAAGCCAGATTATATCTTGGGCAGAGTTTTTCAGCCTCAGAACTCCTGACCCTATGGCTGGATCATTGTCTGCCGTGGGGTGTCCTGTGCATCGCAGGGGGTTCAGAAGTGCCCTAAGGCCTCTGCCTGCTGGACACCATTAGCAGCCTCCACCTTTGACCAGCAAAAATGTCCTCAGACATTGCCAAGTGTCCCCCGGGGGCAGACTCAGCCCTGGTTGAGAAGCCCCGATCTCCAGGGAAGTCCAGGCATTTGTGTTTGTAGTGCATTGCACTGTAGGAAATTCTCACGAGCAGCCGGGCTTGGAAACCGCTGCGCTCTGTGTACTTAAAAGAGCAACAAGAGGTAGAGATGCTGTTACCCTCACAGCTACCTCTGTCCAGCCTTGCGGTTTGCAGTTCCGGGGGAAGCCGGGGTAGGAGGGTGGTGGATAGTCACCCACTTGCCATGACACTGAGGATGCCTGGCCTGTCCTGTTGCAGGGGACAGCCTGTCCCCAGCCCGCGTGGGCACCTGTCCTGCGCTGCCTGGTGGCCGGGAGGGGAGGGGCTCTCAGAGTGTCTTTCCCCTCCATCCTCGCACACCCGGGCCCCAGCTGCAGAGAGCTCAGACAGAACGCCGCGGAAAGGTCAAGCAGATCACTCTGGGGTCACTGGCGCTGCCACACGGAGATGGCGTGCTGCTCCCCAGATGGCTGACACGGAGGGAGGGCAGGGACAACCGGGACAGCAGTGCCAGGTGGATAACCCGGCCACGGCGCCCTGCGCCTGCGCTCTGGCACACAACCGATACGACCAGGAAAGGACCCATGCTGCCCGCATGGAGCTTCCAGTCGCTTGGCCTGGCTCCTCGGGGTGTCGGCCTTAAATCAGCAGCATCACTGTCACCAGGGCACTTGTTAGAAATGCAGACTCAGCCCATTCCAGAGCTACTGAGTAAGAATCAGATCAGTTAGCAGAGTCCCCAGATGCCTGGGACGCTATTCATGTTAGATCTGCTCCGTGCCAGGCCCCGCGTGGGCATCGGCCTCACTGGGGTGGACATCACCTCCACTGTGCGAGTGGGGAAACTAAGGCACAGGGTGAACCTGCTCGCCCATGGCCACACAGCCAGGGAAGAGGCAGGGCTGGGGTGGGGAGAAGGCGACTCAGGTGTCTCCAGGGGCAGGCTGGGTTTTTCCACCAGGCCTCGCTGCCACCCTGGTTTCGCGCCTGCACAGGCGTTGCAGGTTTCCTCCTGTCACTCATAGTCCTTTAAAGCTCCCACCCAGCATGTTTAGCCACCTTGTGCGGTTGCTGCAATTCCGTCTTCTGTAGGCCCGGTTTTGGTGGCGGATTGAGAGATACCCAGGGATCTCCTCAAACCCATGCTAATTTCACCATGAACATTGGCATTTATGACAATTAAGCTCCCCGTTGTCTGTGCAGAAAGGATCTGCTGAGCAGAAGGAGGGCTGCAGGGCAATGTTTGACCTATTCAAAGGGAAAAAAAACTAATTCCCGCCTTTGTATGGAGGGCCAGCGTTGTCCGGTCTCAGGGGACCTTCCGCACTTGCAGCCCGGAGCCTCCACCTCGTGATCCCTGGGAGCCAGTTCTGCCCGGGTGGCAGCGTTTGTATTCCAGCCTGGCGTCCTGGGGACACTGTGGTGTCTCTGATAAAGGCCGGGCAACAGGGAGAGCGCATCATGTGCTCCCAGCTCTTTCTCTCGCAGTAAACAACGGTCAAGAATATCCCCCGACAGCCAGAATCAAGAAATTGCTGCCTGTAAGGAACTTGGAGTTCTTGTGCAAAGAACTCCGAGGAAAAGAACAGTAAATATAGAAACGTGCCCTTTCAAAAGAGCTGGCTATGGCCAGAGAATCGCTTGCGGAGAAAGGAGGCTGCCCTGCCACTGGGGCCGATTCTCTGCCCCCAGGAAATGAAGGCTCATAGGCCCCTAGGGGGACAGGCACCTAGCAGAAAACTTAAGGGGCTGGTGATAATAATCGCATAAAATTAATAAAAGCGGCTAACAATGTGTGCCAGACCCTATGCTAATAACTTGTATTATTATACCCATTTTAAAGATGAGGAAGCTGAAGCCCAGAGAAGTTGGGTGACTTTCCCAAAGACGTACACAGCTAGAAAGGACAAAGTGAGCTCTGAACTCAATGACTCTTCTCAGTGCCACTGTAAAGGAACCAAGCCGACTTCTGCCTCATAGGGAGGGGGGACCCCAGCCTTCATGAAACAGAGAGGTGATGAGATGTCTCGTTCACTCCATTAGCTCAATCCTAGAGTAGAAAGAGCTTGGGTTTTGGAGTCATCCGTTCTGGGTTCAAATCTTATAACTGCATGACTCTGTGCATGTCACTTTCCCTCTCTGAGCTCAGTTTCCTCATCTGAAAATGGGAATAATAATACCTGCCTTGCTGGGTTGTTGGGAGAATCAGAGGTAATGACATAAACACAATGCCCCGCATACAGTGTGTGCTCAGTAGTTGCTGTTAATTCGCTGCAGTGAAAACAGTGCTGGGCCCAAAATCAGGTCAATAATAACGCTAGCCCATAATAAGCTTCCCAAGGGAGAGAGCTGTGTTTTATTTGTTTCTGCAGCTCCGGACCAGGGGTCAGCAGGCTGCAGCTCCTAGGGCCAAAGGCAGCCCACTGCCTGCCTTTGCAAACGCTGCAACGTGGCCATGCCCGTTTACTTACCGTTTTGTCTGCGGCTGCTTTCATGCTACAAAAGCAGCGTGGACTAGCTTCAAAGCCATTTAAAAAAAAAAAAACTTTTTTAATTTTTTTCATTGTCTGAACATTTTTTGAATTTTTATTTATTTATTTTTAATTTCAGCATATTACAGGTGTACACATGTTTAGGTTATACATATTGTCCTTGCCCCGCCCGAGTCAGAGCTTCACGTGTGCCCATCCCCCAGCCGGTGCGCACCGCACCCATTAGGTGTGAATATCCCCATCCCCTCCCCCCTCCCATCTGCCCGACACCCGACAAATGTTACCACTGTGTGTGCACATAAGTGTGGGTCAGTTAACACTGGTTTGATGGTGAGTACATGCGGTGCTTGTTTTTCCGTTCTTGGGATACTTAGTAGAATGAGATCCAGCTCTATCCAGGATAATACAAGAGGTGCTAATTCACCATTGTTTTTTGTGGCTGAGTAGAACTCCATAGTATACATATTATTAATCCGCTCATGTGTTGATGGGCACTTGGGTTGTTTCCACATCTTTGCAGTTGTGAATTGTGCTGCTAGAAACATTCGAGTACAGATGTCTTTTTTATAGAATGTCTTTTATTCCTTTGGGTAGATGCCCAGTAATGGGATTGCTGAGTCGAAAATGGCCATTTATTGAAATGTTTGTGAATCCCTGCCCTACACCACAGTAGAAAGCCTGGTCGATAACAGATACTCAGTATTTTATTTCTTTAACCCTGGACCCTGACTCCCAATCCCAGCTCCGCCACTGACTCGCTGTGTGTCCTTGGATAAGTCCCTTCCCCTCTCTGGGCCTGTTTCCATAAGAGCTTGGTTTATATCAGTGGTCCTCGAACACTGCATTATAATCACTTGGGAAAGTTTATTTTTGGATGCATATCCCTGAGCCCCACCTCCAGAGACGCTGACTCAGTAGATCTCAGGAAGGACCTTAGAATCCAGATATTTGAAAGCTACCCAGGTGACTGAGATGCAGCCAGCTCTGGAGTCATTTGCACGGTCCTCAAGCCTAAGTGAGCAAATGAATCACCCGGAGACCTGTTAAAAATACAAATTTCTAGGCCCACTCCTGGAGATTCTGGTCCCTGGCAAGTCTGCAAGTCGGCCGCAATGCCAGGGAGGCGATTGGGAGTGGTGGGGACTGTGGTGAGCAGAAGGGCCTGTGCCTTCTCTTCAGCTTCAGCCGGCCGTTACCGTGTAGGGTTGTGGGCCCGAGGTTGCCAGATCTGATACCATTTAAAGAGAAGCCAGAGGAGTTTCTGTGAATGCTTTCACTTTTAAAATATCACCAGAGAGCTCAATTTTAAACCACGCTCCTGGCCAACTGAAATACATCTGCAGGCTGTCTTTGCCCTAGATTACTAGTCCGTGGCCTCCAGCTAAGTGACTTCTGAGATCCATCCCAGGATTTAATTTACGTAACAGACATCTAAATGATGCTTACTAAGTGCCTATCATTGCTCGAAATGCTTTGTGGAGATTAACTCGTTCAGGCCTCTTCACACGCTCATTATAACCCATCCTACAGATGAGGAAATCGAGAACACAGGGGTCAGGAAAGTGTCAGACCTGGAACTCGGATCCGGGCAGGCCGGCTGGGCTGCAGAGCCTCGCCCCTGTCCACAGGCCGTGCTGTTAGGCACTTGCTGATGCAGCTTTCTTTTTAATCCCCCATGAGCACAGCAGACAGCCCGGCCCACCTTCTTTGCCCGCAAGTTCGAAGCCGTGGTGAATCAGGAAATCATCGGGCAGCTGGACTATTACCTGTACGGGAACTACCCCGCGGGCACCCCGGGCCTGCGCTCCTACTGGGAGAACGTCTACGATGAGCCCGACGGCGTCCACAGCCTGAGCGACGTGGCGCTCACCTTGTACCACTCCTTCGCCCGCCTGGGCCTCCGACGGGCAGAGACCTCGCTGCACACGGACGGGGAGAACAGCTGCCGGTGAGCCCCCGGGGGTGCGGGAGGCGAGGGAGCCCAGGGCAGGCAGGGCGTGGAGGGGACAGAGGGGGGACCTGCCTCCTTTTATGTAAATTTCTTAAGACATGGGGTCTCTTAGGCCGGGCGCGGTGGCTCATGCCTGTAATCCTAGCACTTTGGGAGGCTGAGACGGGCGGATTGCTCAAGGTCAGGAGTTTGAAACCAGCCTGAGCGAGACCCTGTCTCTACCAAAAATAGAAAGAAATTAATTGACCAACTAAAAATATATATATACAAAAAATTAGCCGGGCATGGTGGCGCATGCCTGTAGTCCCAGCTACTCGGGAGGCTGAGGCAGGAGGATTGCTTGAGCCCAGGAGTTTGAGGTTGCTGTGAGCTAGGCTGACGCCACAGCACTCACTCTAGCCTGGGCAACAAAGCCAGACTCTGTCTCAAAAAAAAAAAAAAAAAAAGACATGGGGTCTCACTACGTTGCCCAGGCTGGACTTGACCTCCTGGGCTCAAGCGACCCTCCTGAGTAGCTGGAACTATAGGCGTTCCTCCTCTTTAGGAGCTGGAATTCCACCCATGCCTCTCCCTTTCTCCCTGCCCCAGAGTCACCTATGCAGCCGCCCTAGCATGCCTGGCGTTTCCAGTCCACGCATGGCCATGCTGTTGCTTTACTTTTTACTTTCTCAGAATACCAGACCTCCTAGTTATCTAATGGTTTTCTTTCAGTTGACTCATTCTTTATGCTACACATAAGTACTTTAGGAGGACGCCTTATGTCACCACGTTACATAGTAGTGTTTGTCTTAAACAGCATGTAACCATGAAAGTCCAAAACTGTTTTTGTTCTTTTTCATGCTGGAGAATGTCAAATATATACAAAATAGAACAGCATGACCTCCTGGTTCTGTCACCCGGCCCTGGCAGTGGTAACACAGGGCTGGTCTCATTTCATCTCCACTTTCTCCCACGTCCTGCCTCCTCTCAGATCAGTTTGAAGTACATCTCAGACAGCGTGTCATTGCGGCCATAAATATTTTAGTATGTATCTCTGAGAAATCATTCCTTTTTAAAGCATAACCACCCTGTCATTACCACGCCTAAAAATAGAACCCCAGGCATCGTTCAAAGGCAGAACCCCTGTTTAAACCACTCAAGGACCCTGTACAATCATCTCGCCTACCACTACCTGCCGACACTGTAGGAGAGAGTGTTCTAGAAATAAGAAGAGAGGGGAAGGTGGGGAAAGAATGCAACGTACTCCCCTCTCCTCCCCTTTCCTTCTGTGTGTCTTTCCCTCTGTCCCCCAGCAAGATGCCTTGCAGATGTTCACACACTTGCAGCAAGAATTTGGTATCCTGCTTTTTCCCCTCTGGGCGTGGCACTATTAGCCCCTTTCCCTCCGCAGCTTCCGCGAGGGGGACGATCCTTTGTGATGCCGTTGAGTAGGATTTGTGTCCCGTTGAGTAGGATTCCCAGAGTTTGCGTCACCCACCCTTGGCCGTCACTGCTGTCAGTGATGTGCCATTGTAAATGACGTCCCGATGAATACCGTTTTGCAGAAGGCCTTTTGTTCTTCCTTTCTCCTTTCTGATTACTCCCTTGGGACAGAGTCCCAGAAGTGCACCTCGTCACTCTTCTTCTCCCTCCTCCTCCTCCCACCGTCCACATTTGACAACATACCTACTTTGTTTTCTTTGTGAGCATCGGTCGATGTTCACGTCACCGCCGGTATCTCGGTTGCCGTTATTATTAAGCCGCCAAAAGCGGTCAGCAGTGAACCTGCTATGCGAGATGGTAACTGGCCACACGAGCCACTCGTCGTTCTCACTGTGCTTTGCTTCACTGCCCCGCCCCTGTCACCGCATAGCTGACCTGCTCCCAGTCACTAAAGGCCATCCGAGGGCCACCTCCTTTGTGACACTTTGCGAGAACTTCCCTGACAGCCCCACTCCCGCCCTCCCCCAAGCCGAACGTAGGGCAGGGGCTGCACCTGCAGCCCGCCCGGGCCCACAGCTGCGGTGCCTTGGGTCAAGGTCACGGGTGAGCGTCTTGCCCCTCCGCTAGTCTGGGGGACAGAATCGAGTCCTCACAGCCACGGTGTGCGCCCCCTGGATGCAGTGCAGTGCCTCATGCTGGGAAGGTAAATGTCGTTCGAGAATACTTTTAATCACAGCCTTCCTAGAACGTGTAAGGATAGTGAGCTTATAGGAAATCCCAGGAGAAACTCCCAATTTATTTAGGGTTGTTGAAATGTTCTTATTGGCTTATTTTGGAATGAAGTGAGCCATCAAGTTGCCTCGAGCCTGGAATCCTCCGGCTTCTACCTCATTTTTTATTGTGATGGAACCATTGTGCCTTGCTGTGGGCAAAGCTGATGTGTTTATGAGTAGAAGCTTGCAAATAAATCAGGACAAAGGACTCTTATCCCAAAAGGCAAAAGAGAATGAATTCCCACCCCCTGGAGCACCTGGGGAAACAGCAAGTAAAAACTTGGAGTCTTCTTTTGTCTGGGTATTTTATGCATATTGTGCCTCTCCAGTCTATAGGATAACTTTTCATAAAAGTAATGTTTATTGATTTCTTTTTCTCATTACAAAGTTACACATGTGCATTGCAGACATTTTTGAAATGGCAGATTAACAGAACAAGGAAATAACATTTGCTTATAATCCACCATCCAGAGATAAGAATGTCAGTATTTTATCACAGGCCGCCAAATTCAAATGCCCTCTAGGACCAAGCAAGTGGCAAGAGTCAGCCAGGGTGGTCCCTGCAGGGTGGGCTGACCAGGGCAACCTAGAGGTGCATGGTGCTGAACTACCGTACCTTCTGGAGCGCACCTTGGAGTTGCTGACCAAATCTCCTGATGTTTTCGATGCTCACCTCATTTAAATAAGAAAGAAAAACACCTTTGGGCCAAACAAGTGTGTCTGCGGCATCCTATAGATTATTATATTGCTTCTTGATTATTTCTCTTTTCTTAGGGCAGGAACAGTTTTCACTACTTCAATAGCAAATAATACCAGGATGAGGCATTAGAGGACTTTGTGCTCAGTTCTAGGTTACTTGTGTCTGAGATGTAGCTTGGAAGCACACGGGGTTCAAGAGAAAGTCCTTCTGGAATTTTCACTCATTCTATAAGTGTTGATTGAACATCGACTGTATGCGTGTCAGGCTCTGTGTTAGGCACTGGACATTCAGGCATGACCCAGGCGGACTGGGCTTCTGAGCTCAGTGGCCCTCCCATGCCAGTGTGCAGACAGCACCCAAGCACAAGCAAAGCAAAACAAAAGGTCAATAAGAGTAAATGTGTTGCCCAAAATGAGGATACAGTCATGTGACATTGATGGGACAGTAACTTAGGATTTGGCAGTCAAAGAAACTGTCTGAAGTGGTGACACTTCTGTCTGAAGTGGTGACACTTAAGCAAAATGGTAAGACAGAGCCAGACATGCAGTCATCGGAGAGGAGCATTCCCAGCAGACAGAATGCCCTATGCAAAGGCCCTGAGGCAGGAATGAGCTTAGCCTGCTCAAGAATTCAAAATAAGGTCACTCATGGCTAGAAAGTGGTAGATTTGGGCAGAGGAAAACCAAATGAGGCTAGAGCAAGAGGCAGGGCTTTGTAGACCACGTAAGGAGTTTGGACTATATTGTAAATGTTAAGCAAACCACTTAGGGCATTTACGCAGGGGATGATGTATGTGGCTACTGTGGGAATAGATTATAGCGGATGAAATAAAAGGGGGGGTCAATTTTGGAAGCTCCTGGAAAGGTCTAGGTGAGGAGCGATGGTGGCTTGGAGTAGGATTCGGCCATGCATAAGGAGAATGGAGGATAGATTCAGGTGGAGACAGCAAGATTTCTTGACAGGAAGTGAGGGAAGGCAAGTCGATAGGAGATTAACTCCTGGATTTCTAGAGTGCTCGATTATTATGCATTGCCTTGACCCTCTCAGCACTCAACACAGTTGACCATTCCCTTCTGGAAACACTTTCTTCTTTGACTCCTGTGACAAGCTGTCCCATCCCACCCAGGTTACAGAGCACACCTTGCCATTGCCTTGCTTGTGTATCGCCACAGTAATGCTGCGTAACAACAATCCCCAAATCGATGCTTTGAAACAATAAGCATTGATGTAGTGCTCGAGTTGCAGGTCAGTGGGGCAGTTTTCTTGGGCTGGGCTGGCCTCACTCTGGCATCTACAACCAGCTGCAGGTCAGGAGGGTGACTGTGTGGCTCTCGGCTGGGAACAGTCAGCTGATCTAGGATGGCTTCGGCTGGGACAACCAGGTGGCTCTGCTCTGTGCCAAAAGCCTCATCCTCCAGCGAGCTAGCCCAGGCGTTCTCTGATGGTGATCACGAAAGAGCAAGTGAACAAATGGAAAAACGTCCAGGGCTTCTGAGCCCATGGCTGGGAATTGGCGTGACACTCCTTCCACCACTTTCTGTTGGCCAAAGAAGATTCCACAGGAGGGGAAATAGATTCTGCCTCATTGGCGCAAGGAAACCTACAAAGTCACAAGGAGACAGGAAGACTTGGGGACATTAATGCAGGCTACCACAGGCTTTCCTGTGACTGTATCTTTGCTGTCCACAGCAGCCACTAGCCACAAGTGGCAATGTAATTCTGAATTAGCTAAAACAAAATAAAATTTAAAATCCAGTTCTCAGTCACAGTGGCCACATTGCAAGTGTTCAATAGTCAAACATAGCTAGTGGCTACTCTATTGGACAGCATGACATTTCCATCATCACAGAAAGTTCCGTGGTGCAGCCCTGCCTAGATTTTGTGCCATGGTAAAATAGCAGTGAGCAGTACAGTCCAGGGCTTTCTGCTCCCAAAGCCCAGATTCAAAGCAGGTTTGCATGAGCCACGAATGCCCAGCAAACAATCTGAAGACAGGGCAGGCATTTTTCCCAGAGCCCCCGGAGGCATCCCAGTAACAAGGCAGTGATTTCAGGAGATGTGTAAACACAGGAAGGTGGCTTCCCTAACCATTATAATTGGACATAAAGACTTAAAAGTCCACATCGAGACCAGAGGGAAGGCTGCATTTAGCTGAGCAGGGACAGTGATTTGTGTAATGCTATTATTAGGGACCCACAAGCACCCGCTTAGTGCTGTGCCATGTGCACATTGCAGAAACGGCAGCTCTTTATTTTACAAGTAGGAAGGACATCGAGCAGGGCCCCTTCAAAGTCCTTCTCTGTTCTGTGTTCCCTGATGTTCTCTGGGCATCTCTGCTTAGCTTCCCTGCTCCTTTCAGCCATCCAACCTCAGTGGACCAAAGGCATGCATTTTAAACAACAAGCTCCCTATATATGCACGTGCACATGTATTTATGTCAGATGGGCAATGCCTTTTTAAAGACGATGCCTCATGTGGGTGAAAAGGACTGTGAGAGCGTGAGTCAGTACTTCTGATGAAGTTAGGCAACAGACATAAAGAGAGCCCATTGGAGATTCAAACAGAGAGAGAAGAAAGAGAGGAATGAAAAAGAATTATCTTTAATTTTTGCTCAAGGATGTTTAATGCAGCATTGTGTAGAACAGCAAAGAAATGAGAATCATCACTCTGTGAAATTGACACTGCGTACAGTGGAACACTTTGCATCCACACACACACAGAATCACGGTCTCAGAGACTTTTCCAAGACTCGTGATGATGCTCAGGAAATACCATAGAGCAAAAGCAGAATATAGCCAGTCTACATGTTCTGATCCCAACTGTGTAATATTTATGCAAATATATGCATAGAAAATAAGGCTGAAGGGAAATCCATCAATATGACAACGTTCACACACCATCGTCGCTCCCCCAGCACCAAGCGCCGGAGGACTCAATCAATATCTGTGAATTGACGTTATTTATGGGAAGAGGCATAAAAAGCAGTCCTTTTATTTTCTTTGTTGTGGGGTCAGCATGTTTTTCATTTATAATCAGCAAAAAAAAAAATTATTCCTAGTCATCGAGATCATGGAGACATAGGGAGCAGCTTTCAGGCGGATGCAAAGGACTAGGGTAGGAATTGTATGACGTGGGGACTGTTCTAGGGACAGGACGAGCATGGTGGAGGGGAGCCCTGTTGTGATGCTGAGCACCTGCAGCCTTAACCCATGAGCTCCTGTGTTTTCAGGTACTACCCAATGGGCCACCCAGCGTCCGTGCACCTCTACTTCCTTGCTGACCGCTTCCAGGGCTTTCTGATCAAGCATCATGCCACCAATCTGGCTGTGAGCAAGCTAGAGACCCTGGAGACATGGGTGATGCCGAAGAAAGTCTTCAAGATTGCAAGCCCACCCAGCGACTTTGGGAGGCTTCAGTTTTCTGAAGTAAGAGGCCGGATGTTGTCACGCTTCATCCTTTTGCAGTCCCCGTGCTGGGTTCTGTTCCACAATCTGACACTTGTAGTTGGAAATGGAGGAGAAGAGGGCTTGGAGAGCCCTAAAGATGTGTTCTCCAGCCCCAAACACACACCAGCATCTTAAACGGGGGAGGAGGAGAGGGACAGTGGAGTTGCCAAAGGACCAAACCAACCTGGAACCTTGGCCTACTTTCTGGAGTAGAATTTCTGCTCCTCTTAATTTTTCATCCTCATCAGTGACCCTTCCTAAACTTATGTTATTAACAGACCAGTAACAAACCACTATTTCCTAATGAAATAGTGGCATTAGTCCTATTTTACAGATGAGAGAACTGAGGCTTATAGAAATCGATTGATTTTTCTGGATCATAGCTAGGAAGTGGAAGAGCTCAAAATTGAACCCAAGTTTCTCTGGCTACAAATCCCATGTGTAATTGTGGTTTTGTCTCCCAGTTTATAACACAAGAATTAGCTTAAAGTAAGCACCAGATCAATCAATCATTGAATATATGAATGGATAAGTGGGTGGGTGGATGGGTGGGTGGGTGGGTGGATGGATGGATGGATGGATGGATGGATGGATGGATGGATGGATGGATGGATGGATGGATGGATGGATGGGCGGACGAATGGACGGATGGATGGAGGGACAGATGGATGAGTGGATGGATAAATAGATGAGTGCATAGATGGATAAAAGGATGGATGATTAGGATGGATGGATGGATAGAAGGATGGATAGATAATAGATGGATGGATGGACAGATGGGTTAATGGGTAGAGCTATGGACTGATGCGTGGATCATAGAAAGTGGTTTCTCCCCCCTCAATACAGCATTAGATTTTAAGTATTTTTCTGGCTAGGGAGATGGATTTACCCAGCACCACCTTGTAGTATCAGCCCTGCCTCCAGATCCCTAAGGCCCTACATGATCTGGCCTTCGTCTGCTTCTCCAGCCTAATCCAGTACCACTCTCCACCCCGCTCACATTTCTTGCATCTTTGTCAAACATGCCACACCTATTCCTGCCTCAAGCTTGGCAGGTGCTGATCCCCCTGCATAGAATGCTTTCCCCAGGTTGTCACATAGCTGGCTTGTTTTTTGTCATTCTGATATAAATCCAAGCGGTGCCCCTTCAGGGAAGCCTTCCCTGGCCACCCACTTGTGCCACAATAGCTACACTGTCCACCTAACCCTTCCCTATTTTGTCACCTTCTCTTAGCATTTACTATCTAAAATTATCTTGTTGATTTATCTGGTCACTACTCAGTTGCCCACAAGAGAGCAGGAACTGTATCTCCTCACCCGCTACTATATCCCCAGCACGTAGAAGAGCACGTAGTATTTGTAGGTGCTGAATGAGATTTCTGAATGAATGAGTGAATGCGCTTGGGTGGTGATGGTGCTAGGAAGGGAAAGCATGACCAGTCTTGGGGAGCGTGGCGCACACAAAACTCTAGCACCTGATTTCTGCCTTCCCCGCGTCAGTACGTAGTAGCTAAGTGGGTGATTCATCTCAATGAATCTGGCTACTAGATTCAGGATGAAGGGTCCGACTTTACAATATGGAGGACCTGGAGGGGCCGGGAGCATGGAGGGCCCTTGCTGGTCCTTATCCAGCCCCCTGTGGCCCTGGCTAGCTGACTCGTGCCCCCGGAAAGGGTCCCCATGTCAAACAGGCACCAGCGAGAGTTTCTTGTTAAGCTACCATTTTCAATTAAGGCTCCTAGCGGATTTGCTGGATGTGAGCTGCCCAGGGAGCCCACTCCATAAATTACTGGTGCCAGGGGGCAATTAGACTCTGCCCCAGTTGGATTCTGTGCTGGGGCCCAAGCATTCAATTGACGACATTAATGTTCCATTAAAGAGATGGATGCCTGGTGTCTGCGCTCCGCCTGTTTCTCAGCCTGCTGTTGGGCGACTGGGCTCCTCTGGCAGTGACAGATGACGCTGGCCACTCCATGGCTAGTGATTTGTGAAGGTTCCCACTGTAGGTCTGGTGCCCTGGGTGGGAGAGCCACCAAGATCACTCGCGGAAATAATGGCACCTAATGCTGAGAGCCCTGACTTTGTATTTTGAATTTTTTCTAGTCTTAATTATTTTTAATGGCACAGCTATAAAACTGAGCAAAAAGGAAGGGAAGAACTATAGGCCCGCTTTGTGGGCTGTTGAGAATGTCCCTGTTGTCAGCACCATCTGTGTCAGCGCCATGCGTGGTGCCCAGCTCACGGCAGGTGGCCAGTGCTGCTGAACAGCTCAGGTAGATTCCTCCAGCCCACGGGGGGACTGGCTTGGAGAAAAGATGCCCATCCTTTCTGCAGGCGGTCACTGAGTGCCTACAACGTGCTAGGTGCGGGAAGGATAGCAGTGAACCGGACAAACCTGGCCCCTGTTGTCACGGAATTGTAGTCTAGTGGGGCAGCCAGCCAGTGAGTGAGCAATTCAGCTAATAACAAGTATTAGAGAGAACATAGAACTTCATCCCTGTGATTGCTGACTCAGGGCGTGGATGGGGGCTGCCTTTGGTAGGATGATTCATTCAGGAAGGCTTTCCTAAGGAGATAACGTTAGAGCTGACACCTGTAAAAGAGCTAGCCGCGGGGAGTTCTGGAACATTCCAAGCAGAGAGAAGACTATGTGTCCAGAGCACATGAGTGAGAGGGAGAATGGTAGGAGAGAGGTCTCGGAGCGGGCAGGGGCTTGCCCGCCCTGGAAGGATGTTCAGGTTGCATTTCAGTGCAGTGGGAAGCCTTCTGATGGGTGGGTTGGGAGCTGGGGAGCAGCATGTTAAGGTTGAACTTCAGCATGTATTTAAATCTGGATAATTGATCCTTTTGCAGTGGAGGGTTGTGGACTTCCACAGCAAGGCCCAAGGAGAAGAGCTGGGAGGTCACAGCAGATGTGACAGCACCCCGCTCTGTCCCGGACTGCCCCCTCCTTCATGCTTGGGGGTGCACTGTGTCCTCACAGTCTTCAGTTTAGAGACGAGAGCCAGGTTTTTTTGTCAGCTGCTCCACAGCTCTCCTGTCCAGGTTGTCCTGGTTTTAGAACCCAGATTTCAGAGAACCATTTATGCCCATTGCTATGGAGGATGCAAGGACAGTGTTACAGACGGTGCCCGCGCACTTGGGTATGATACCGAAGTGGTTTTGTGACCATTCATCCTTTTTGTTAGTATCTGTTGGAAACCGGTGTGTGGAGGGTCTGGAGCGGGACATTTGACAAGGCCTTCCTGATGACAGGGTGGAGAATAAATCACAGGCAGCGAAAGTGGAAGGAAGAAAGCAAAGAGCAGATTCCTGCAGGTCACAGCCGCGCACACCCCCAGCTGGTGGCAGGAGGGATGGATCGCACAGCCTCTCCCGTCCCTAGGGTCCAGCTCAGAATGATTTTAGGAAACCAGAGCTGTCTCCTCCTAGGAAAGCCATCTGAACTCCCGCAAATGATAGGCAGTGGCAAAGGTCTCTCCTTTCTCCTAGCAGATGACAGGGCAGCTCCAAAACCAACAATCTGTTCTTGTTCAGAACGTGAGCACTAAACAAAGGTGTGTGATTTGGAAAACCAGGGACCAAAGTGGGAACCCGCTGCACCTGTTGAGTGGCAGGGCATGTGTTCCCTCGTAACAGTTGCAAGCAGGCATTCATGCATCCCTCAGCACATTCGTCTTTTCAGAGCACATGCCGTGTCCAGGCACAGGTGGCCCAGTGGTTCAGTGAGGGGACACGGGCCTTGTGATCCCCCAGGTGAGGCCCAAATCCCAGACCACCTGCTTCCTAGCTGTGTGACCTCGAACAGGAGACTTAATCCAAGCTTCAGTTTCCTCATCTGTAAAATGGGCATATGAAGCCTAAGCAGCAGGCTCCTGAGCCTTTCTGAGACGGAACACCCTAGCCCAGGCCCGGTGGTTTCAGACTCACTCCTCTGTTTCAGGTCGGCACCGACTGGGATGCCAAGGAGCGGCTGTTTCGCAACTTTGGGGGCCTCCTGGGGCCCATGGACGAGCCGGTGGGTATGCAGAAATGGGGGAAGGGGCCCAACGTGACCGTGACCGTCATTTGGGTGGACCCCGTCAACGTCATCGCTGCCACCTACGACATCCTGATTGAGTCCACTGCCGAATTCACCCACTACAAGCCCCCTTTGAACTTGCCCCTGAGGCCTGGGGTCTGGACAGTGAAAATTCTCCACCACTGGGTGCCGGTTGCAGAGACCAAATTCCTCGTCGCGCCTCTGACCTTCTCCAACAGGCAGCCCATCAAGCCAGGTGAGTGCTCCGGTGTCTCTGCGGGGGCAGGTGTTCCATCCATCCCCAGGTCCTTGGCCTGGGCAGACCATGCTGCTCAGATGTGGGGCGTGTGACCGCCTTGCAGGACAGCGTTGCTTGCTCTCGGTATTTTTTTTTTCCTGCTCGTTTGCCCTAGAGACCCAGCTAATTTCCTACCTGCACACTGAGGTGATGTCGTCTGTGTATGTATTAGATACTTATGTGTTGGACTCCCGTTGGACATGCAGAAGGCCTCGATCATATTTAGGACAAGATGGGAATTAAACCCAGGCAGATAGTGAGTTTCAGCAAATCTAGTTTACTATTTCAAAAGTAACTAAAATGAGAAATGCTGTTCATCAAAGCTATGATGCACTAGGTAGAAAGATGGACCACATACCAGCGGGAGATATTTGCTATCCATTTAAAAAAAAATAATACTCATATTCAGAACATATAAAGAAATCCCATGAATCAGAGGTTGGCGAGCGGCGGGCCGCAGGGCAAATCCGCACACTGTCTGTTTTTGTAAGTACAGTTTTATTGGAACACAGTCACATTCATTACATGTTGCCTGTTTCTGCTTTGGGAATAAAATGGCAGAGTTGAATGGATGTGACAGTGATGGCATGGCCCACAAAGCCAAAAATATTTATTATCTAGTCCTTTACGAAAAAAGATGCCAATCCTTGCTATAAAAGAGAGGAAACCAAAAAAAAAAAAAAAAAAAGTAGAGAGAGAGAGAGAACAGGAATGGCCCTCATAAGTATAAAAAGACGCTCAGCCCCATTAATAATGACAGAAATGCAAACTCAAAGTGCAAAGACATTCCACTTCACACCCACCATATCGATGAATGAGTGACAGATAATGTCATATATTGGTAAAGTTGGAAAACGATGCACATTCCCAACGCCAGTGGGAGGGTGATTTGACAAGGTGCATTTGGAAAATCGTTTAGCGTCTCCTATAAAGCTGAACTTCCACACACCCTATCGCACAGAAATTCCACCCCTAGGTACAGGCCCTAGAGATGGGTGCAGAAATATTCATACAAGAATTCTTCATAATAGCACAAAAGCAAAAACAGCCCAGCACCGGCAAGGATGGGCAGTCTGTGGTGTGTTCCCGGGGCGGATGCCGGGCCGCAGGGAGCTTCAGCAGAGCACAGACACCTGTGTTGGCTTGGGCCAGTCAAGCATCCTGTTGCGGGGGAAATATTACAGGATAAATCATAATTATGATGCATTTATTTAAAGTTCAAGAGCAGACAAAGCCAGCTATATACTATTTCGGGATTCGTGTGTCCATAGAAAGCTCTGAGGAGATGAAGGGCATTATTAACATGAAATTCAAGACAGTGGTTTCCACTGCTTACGGAGAGCAGGGAGATGGCTGGCTGGCTCCTAACATACCTGCCTTTTTTTTTTTTTTAACCCATTCGTAGAGTTTACTTTTATGCTTCTTTTTCCTCCTTTCTACCTTCTTTTATCAAGGGGAATGTCTTTCTCCATCCTCAAATCCTACCTCCACGTGTAACCACTGCGAACAGTTTGGCATGCATACTTCCAGGGGGGTCTCAGGTTGAGTAGTTGTGACAGAGACTGCACAGCCCACGAGCCAAAAATATTTACTATCTATCAGCACAGCTTAACGTAACACGCATCAGAGAACACAAAAACTTCGCTGAGTTCTAAAAAATGGAATAATGCATTTTGCAGTGAAACTTGCTTTTTTTACTTTCTGAGTCAGTCTGTGTAAAGCTACCAGCTGCAACATAGTCCATCGGGTTAAGGAACCACCGTCTGTCTGCACCCCCTTTGGTGTATCGATGATGATGATGATGCTGATGGTACCAATATTGCTGCAAAAAGATTCTTATACATAAAATTATTCATATTCCTGCAGATACATCCATCAGACTTCTAGAAATAGGGTTTCAGAGTCTCTCAGTGTTTGGAATTGTTCATCTCCATCTACCAGATCACAAACGTGAAATCCAGAAACACATTCCAGACCTTCTTAGCTGAAAAGAGTTCTTGTTTGGGTTCCATTTAGCCAATGATGCAAAGGGAGGGAGACACAGACCTGGGGAAGAATCCCTGAAGTCCTAGGAAAGGGGTCTTGAAGTGAACTCTCAGCTTCTGCAATGTCTCCGTGCTGAGCAAGCAGGAGGATGGAGACCTGTAGTTTTCTTGAGAGGGAAGCACGCCCCTCCATGCCCCTATGAACCAGGCAAAAGACAGCCCCTCCAGAGCTAGCCGGGCCACAGCCCACCCACTAGGGCCCCCTTGATTAGGTGCACATCTTGGTGTCACTAAGGATTTCCAAAGCCAGACATGGAGTAGAGGGATGTAATTGACCACATCTTGGTTGCTTCATGTGCACCTGAGGACGGAACAAAGGAACACTCCTGAATCCACCCCTCTACCCTGGCAAAATAGCCCAGCGCCATGCATTGGGTCCCGATTTTTCCAATGTTCTCTGCTGGAGTTTCTGAGGAAGGCACAGTTCTTTCCACCCATGCCCAGGGTGACCCGAGGGTCATTTTACCCCACAGGGAGCGGCCCTCCTGTCTTCGGTAATTGTATTTGTTAACGATGTTCCGATGACAGGGAACACGGAGGTGGGAGCAATGCAATTTGTAAAATGATTCATCAAGAGTAATTTGCTATTGATGCGTCCCTGGTAATCTCACGAAATCTGATGAGGTGGAATTGAGGAAAATTTAATTATAGAGACGAGCATCGTGAGCTGATATTGTAATAGCATTTCCCACATTAACTTCATTTCCCATAAGGGTTTTTTGCATCAACCACAGTATTTGGTTCCCAGTGTTCGAATGTTTGTCAGCTGCTCCTTTCACTTTGAATGTCCTGCCATTTGTCTGTTTGGGTTCCCCCCAGCCCCCCAGCTTCTCTGCAGAATGGAGGCATCCAGACCTGCGCCAAGGGCAGCAGGCTCTGGTCTTCGGCAGATGGAGCTGGGGCTGCCCACCCTGACCGCCGGCACTAGAGAGGGGTGGGCTGGGAATCCCAGCAAGGCAGAATCGTGTTCGACGTATATGTTCTTTCTCCCACTTGTCACTTTCCAAACCATAGATCCACTCCACTCCCTGGGACGTTGGTCATTGGAAGAATGATGTCCTTGTCCGTTAGTCAAGGCACATTTTGAGTTCAGCTGGTATTCTCATTGCTTTTAGAGGCACAGAAAAATGGTTTTGCTTCCTCCTCCTTCCCCACTCAGGACCACACATACTAGAGGAAAATAACCTGGTAAATTATCCCAGTTCTCCTGGTTGCCATTGATGGCGGCAGCTGCTGTCAGGAAGCTTGGTCTGGTGATCATCACTGCATCACCTCGGAGGGAGGTTCCTTCTCATCCCGGCTATCTCGGCTGTAGCAAAACCCGACTCCAGACTCGCTGTCCGGTCTTCTTAAAAATATATATGCTTATATTTAGCAATAAAATTAGCAATGAGTGGGGACTCCTTAAAAAGTAGAAGGGTCTAGCTTCTTTCCTTCGCCCCAAACTCCTACGCTTTCTGCTTCTGCATTTTGAAGCCCTGGGAAGTCGTAACGGTCCCTCTTGTGTGCCCGTTACTTTACAGTTCTCGTAGCACATGGGACTTCTGTTTGAGCCTCTTGCCAGCCCTGTGGGACTGACTGGGGGCAGGATGGGTATCCCCATTATACAGAGGCGGAAACCAAAGCTTTAAAAGACTGGCTCCCAGCTAGAAAAACAGAAACAGGAACCTTGCTGTAACTTCCCAGTGGTGGATGTATCTCCAGGAGAGCACTGGCTCTGGCGTCAGCCAGTCCTGGATTTAACCCCAGATCTGCCTCTAACTATAGCTGCTTCTGTTTTCTCATCTGTAAAATGGGTATGATAAAACCAGCCCTATAAGGGTGTCTGTGTGTGAGGATTACAGACTAGTACCAGCAGTAATAATTGCAGGTAAACTTTTTCAAGCCCTTAGTAGATCTGAGGTGCCATTTTAAGCACTCTATATGAATCAACCTGTTTGATCCTGACAAAGCTATGAGCCCGGTATTAGTACTTTATTCATTTTATTGGTGAAGAAACTAAGGCATAGGGCGTTGAAGTCAGAGGTCACACACCTGGCATGTGGGGCGTGGGGATTCGAACCCAGACAGCCTGACTGCAGTGCCTGGGCTCCTGCATGAAGCATGTCTCAGAAGCTGGCGTGTTGTAGGGGCCCAGCAAGGCAGAACTGTTACGAAAGCTAGTTTGACCACCCACCCCACCCCACTCTGGTCCAAGCTTCATGCCCCCACGCATTGACTGGGCTGCCGGGAAGCAGAAATCCATGACTTACCATGGCGGACACTGAGCGCTGAGCGCTGACTCCTCGCCAGGCTCTCAGGCCAACAGACCTGCGTTCAGACCCTGGCTCTGACACTCGTTACCTGTGCGATTTGCGGAAAGGTGCTTAATTAGGCTTTGCACTTGCTATTCCCTCTGCCTGGAATTCTCTTCCCCCAGTTCTGTTTTTCTTTTTTTTTTCCTTTTTTTAAGTTTTTTTATTTCAGCATATTATGGGGGTACAAATGTTAAGGTTATGTATATTGCCCTTGCTGCCCTCCCCCTTAGGGTCAGAGCTTCAAGCATGTCCATCCCCTAGATGGTGCGCATCGCACTCATTATGTATGCATGTACCCATCCCCTCCTTTCCCCTCCCCCACCTGCCCGACTCCCGGTAACTGTTGTTCCTATATTTGCTGGTGAGTACATGTGGTGCTTAGTTTTCCATTCTTGGGATATTTCTCTTAGTAGAATGGGTTCCAGCTCTATCCAGGAAAATACAAGAGGTGCTATATCACCATTGTTTCTTTTTTTTTTTTCTTAAAATAATTTTTGTTTT